TCTTCTATCCGCCTCCCACTCTCTCCCTATTTATTTCAGAACCCCCTTCCCCTCCCCCTTTTCTGATGAAGGGTCTAGGCCCGAAACGTCAGCCTCTCTGCTCCTATGATGCTGCTTGGCCTGCTGTGTTCATCCAGCCCTGCACCTTGTTGTCTCGGATTCTCCAGCATCTGCAGTTCCTACTATCTCTAATTGCTTGGCAAGTTGACTTTGGCTGAGGATTTGCCACGGAGAGAGCATTGGGATTGTTTGATCACTGCAAGACAAAACACTTTGGCAGCAAGCTTTTCAGCAATATTCAAATAATCCCTTTATTTAGGATGCCTCTGGTCTTCACATACTGGAGATTATTTAAGAATGTAGTATGTAATAATCTCGCATAAATTATGCAGGACTCCGAAGGGACGGTATCATATATCCGTGAGTTCCATCCTCTCATAATGAACATTACATGAAATATATACACAGACCTAACAAAACTGTCTCTTTCCAGGGGTCATATTTACATGACAAGCAGATAGTTCAAATTTCCTGCACAGTCATGGTGACTATGAGAGTTTGAGCTGACTCTCTGATACTAGGATTGTGGCAGTGTCCTGGCTACGTTATGACTTCAAATAGCACCATGGCAATTGAGGGAACTTTTATTCACTTACTTTAGTAAGGCTGGAGTTAACAAGTTAGCATCAGTAATGGTGACCTTGAAAATGACTAGATTCTTGGAAAAACAAACCACCTTGTTCAATAATGTGTAGATTTACTGTTCTTAACTGTTCTGGTATCTAGGTGACTCCAGACTGACCACATTGTGGGTCAAACTCTTATCTGGCCTCCGACATAGCTTAGCTAGCCGTTCAATTCTTGATTGCTTATTTGTGGGATGGGGGCATTGCTGGCTGGCCAGCATTTATTGCCTGTCCCTAGTTACCCATGAGAAGGTGGTGGTGGGCTGCCTTCTTGAACCGCTGCAGTCCACATGCTGTAGGTAGACACACAACGCCCTTAGGGAGGGAATTCCAGGATTTTGAGTGAAGGAACGGCAATATGTTTCCAAGTCACTCACCATCCTGACTTGGAGGTGAACTTGCAGGCGCTGGTGTTCCCATGCAGCTGCTGCCATTGCCCTTTCAGATGGAAGTGGTCACAGGTTTTGAAGGTGCTGCCTAAGGATCTTCGGTGAATTTCTGCAGTGCATGTTGTAGAAAGTACAAGAGCATCGGTGGTGGAGGGAGTGGATGCTTGTGGATGTAGTGCCAATCAAACGGGCTGCTTTGCCTTGGATGGTGTCAAGCTACTTGAGTGTTGTTGGAGCTGCACTCATCCAGGCAAGTGGGGAGTATTCCATTATGTTCCTGACTTGTGCCTTGTATAAGAATATTTTCCTGTAGCAGACAAGAAAGACACGACTGTAGTCACCACATTAGGCTTGTCTCAATTCTTAAATATGGTCTCAATCCGAGAGTTCCTGAGATGCTCCAGCATACATCTGTCTTCCCAGATAAGGGATGTGAGGCCATGCAAGGAGTGTACCTCTGGTTGTGGAGACAATCTAGAGCAGAATTACATCTGTCCAACCTATGGGGGTCTTCAATGCAAAACCAAAATCAGTCTAACCTCAGTAATAATTATCCAAAGTTTAATGTATCCTCAAACCATAGCTTCTCTGCATCAATGCAGAGCAGAAACCAAAGAATTGATTACGTAGCTGCAGCCGAAGTGGCCTATTAAGATACATTCTGTTGTGAGATCTACAAGGCTACCATATTTGGGAGAACTGATATCCAGAGGAAAGTTCCCCAGATTTGACAATGATATGTGTGGGTAAGTCAGTTCTAACGGCTGACGAGTGTCATTGGATTCAAAAATATCCTGTTATTAATGATTAGAATCATCAAGGTTTCTGAAATGTCAAAAACTCAAATGCTTCACTAGTGTCTTGTGGAAAGGATCTCTATCTGCTCTGTCCCATATTTCATTACTAACCTTCAATACAGTAGATGGTGATGTGTTAGAGTTCACTTGGAGTCCAGTTGTTAACAGTTCACTTCTTAACCTGAATAGGACAGAGCTGTAGATAGTGATGATAGTGTCTCTAATCATTCAATCACAAGGCTGACTACTCCCTATTGTCCTTACCACCTTCGATTGCTGTGTGTTGAAGGATTTACAAGTTGATTATCAATTTATTTGGCAATGTTATGAACACACCCTCCTTGGCCATAAAGTATTGGAGTGGGACTTGAACCTGGAGGTTCAGGCTTAGAGGCAGAGACTCAGCTCTCAGTAAGCTAATCTATTTTCTCCATTGTGGGAAATCCAGAACAATGGGGTTCAATTTTAAAATGGTTATTCAAGAATGATTCAATAATGCCCCTTCAGTTAAATGGTCTGACATCAGGAACTCTCTCTCAAAAAGTTGTTCAGGTTGGGGTGAATTGAATATTTTAAACTGAAATTGATTTGTTTTTGTTAAACAAGCTTAAGGGTTATGCTGATTTTTTTTAAAAAAAGGTGGGTTTTAGGTTAGGGTGGCACGGTGGCTTAGTGGTTAGCACTGCTGCCCCCCAGCGCCAGGGAACCGGGTTCAATTCCTGCTTCGGGTGACTTCGGGTGTATGTGTGAAGTTTGCACATTCTCTCTGTGTCAACATGGGTTTCCTCTGGATGCTCTGGTTTCCTCTCACAGTCTGAAGATGTGCATTTTAGGTGGACTGGCATTCCAAAATGCCCCATAGTGTCAAGGCATGTGTAGGCTATGTGTAGGCATTTTCTGAAGAAGGGTCTAGGCCCGAAATGTCAGCCTTCCTGCACCTCTGATGCTGCTTGACCTGCTGTGTTCATCAAGCTCTACACCTTGTTATCTCTGTAGCCTAGGTGGGTTAGCCATAGGAAATACACAGTTACGGGGTAGGGTATGTGGAGTCTGGATGGGATGCTCTTCAGAGGGTCAGTATGGACTCGATGGGCTGAATGGCCTTCTTCCACACTAGGGATTCTAGGAGTAGATGGAGTTCAGATACAGATCAATCAGGACTGAATTGAATGGAGTAGGTTTGAAAGAATGAGTGGCCTCCCAGGCTCTCGCTCAAGCAAACTGCCTTGCAAATGTCACACACATCCTCACAGCAAATGAAAAATAACTACATTAGAACTGTGGTTTCACAAAAAAACTACCAGTACATTTGACAGGCATTTAGACAACAAGATAACAGATAATTTTTATTCAGGAAGTCACAAGAACCATCAGACTAGAATCTGCTACAAAATATTAAATTGATTTAATACTACAGTTTTAGACATGACATACATTAAACCTTTGAAGGTTGACTTTCATAATTAAAAACAGATTTCCCTGATGTGGGAGGATAGTGGTTTACTGGCTTGGTTCACTATGATCTGTGGTGTTTTATCGTGATTGAAAAATGCTGATAGGATGTTGCAATTTTCGCTCTGATAAAGATCAATCCACACTGCAGGAGACCAACCTGGTTTTCAAAGGGTAGGAATTATATGAGAAAAACAAAATACTGGCGATGCTAAAAAAAAATTTGAAATAAATGGAGGATCATTCATTAACATCACCAGAGAGCTGAGCTGCGACCAAGTGCTGACGTTATGCTTTGAGTATTCAAAAAGAGGTAGCAAAAATGCCATTATATATTGAGATTAATAATTTAATAGAGGTGTGGCCTGAGTATCCATGTCATAGACACACAGACTCCAGCGGGGCGAAAAAAAGTCTCAAATTCCTCAGCTTGCCATCAGTGGATATATTACCCAGTGAAATGAGCTGGCTTCTCTGCTAGAAACAAAAGATAGCAATTCATTGGAAAGTATCAATAATAATCTGGCTTCATTTGACAATCATAAAATCTAAAACAAAAAGTTTCAGAGAAGTGTGGGAGAGTATAAAATGGAAATAAGGGAGGATTGGCCCATTCTTCAGAACAAGCACTGATGACATTGCTGAGTACTCATCCTGACTGTCGTTAACTGTGTACCAACATACTTCAGAACCCGTTGTCGAAGAGACCATTAGTTTGTCTTTCGTGCCACTGATAGGAAGAGGTAAATTGGTACAGCTAGTCTTTATTGCAGTTACTGTGCTTTTTCTGTGGCCAGCTTCTGTTCAAATTCCTCCTTCAATTTGGCTTTTTTCTCCAAGTTCCATTTGGTGAGGTTCTCATGCTGTTTAAAAGCCTGTAATTAGGGAAAGGGAAAGAATATAAATGAAATAATGCATTATAAATACAATGTCTGAGCAAAAAAAAAACTTTGTTTCAAAATTTTCAGCTAATCAAAATCCAGCTGATCTGAATGAGTAAACAATCTGTATAGAAGGGAATGGGTTCATGTGGTTCAGTGGTACTGTCGCTACCTTTGGGCCTGGAGGCTTAGTTCAAGTCCCACCTGCTTCAGTGGTGTATAACCACATAGAGATAGCAAGAATTGCAGATGCTGGATTAAGAGTCAATACAGTATGGAGCTGGAGGAACACACCAGGTCAGGCAGCATCAGAGGAGTAGGAAAGGTGATGTTTCGGGCCCGGACCATTCACCGGAGTCCAGATGAAGGGTCCAGGCCCGAAACGTTGACTCTCCTGCTCCTCTGATGCTGCCTGACCTGCTGTATTCCTCCAGCTGCACACTGTATTGACTGTGTATAACCACAACTCTGAGCAGGTTGATTTAGAAAGCATCGATGGCAGGGAGAGCTCCTCAATTACAGGTTCAAGACCATCAATGTCCAGGTTCTGCTTTTTAGGGGACACTTGGCACAAGGTGGTAGGTGGATGTATGTGTGGGGAGTCTTACTGTTGTCAAGGTGGGGATCAACAGTACACAAGGTCATGCAGCAAGGTCACCAGTGTGGGACCTTAAAGGTGCATCCACGTCAAAGACTGGAGATGATGCCCTTCTGAAGAGACTGGCTGAAGGCAGCTTTGTGTTTGGACCGTCATCATTATCATTAATTTCATAGCTTATTATCACTCTCTCCATGGCAACATTATGAAACAGCATAGAGTCCAGAGGATGTGAGAGAAATCCTCCCAGGGATTGAAGCTTCCAGGCAGTGAGGCCTGTATTCGGTGAGATGACTGTTAGCCTCACCACACACAGACATTACTTTCATCTCTCTAAAAAATGCCACCTGATTTCAGGCTGAAACCAAGAGGAGAATCATCGAATCCCTACAGCGTGGAAACAGGCCATTCAGCCCATCAAGTTCACAGTGACTCTGAAGAGTATTCCACCCAGACCCACTCCCCCACCCTATCCCTGTAGCCCTGCACTTCCTGTGGCAAATTCACCTAGCCTGCTCATCCCTGGACTGTATGGACAATTTAGCATAGCCAGTCCACCAAAGCTGCATATCTTTGGACAATGGGAGGAAACCCACACAGACACAGTGAAAACATGCAAACTCCACATAGATAGTTGCCCGAGGGTGGAATCGATCCCAGGTCATTGATGCTGTGAGGTGGCAGTGCTAACCACTGAGCCACCATGCCGCCGTGACCAATCCTGACCTATGTCTTCAATCAAAGATCCCATTAATCCAGGATTCTGTTGCAGTTGCCTTTCTGTCAAAACAATGAGCTGTTTCTGAAATAAATGCATACTCTCAGACATCAGAGTTTTTAAAAAAAAATCTTCCATAAGGACTGCTTGCTGTTTGGTGTTCAAAAACTGGCCTTGTGACATCCTGTAACACTGTCACAAGTGAAACGATAGTGACACATTCACTCGTTCTCTCCTAATATGCCATTCAGGTTCGATGGCAGCTCCAGGGCCTAAGTCTGTGCTAAGCATTGGATGCTGGCAGGGTTTGGGTCAGATGCTTGAGGCAGGCCTGTTGGGGTCATGGGTCACTTGCAGCTTTGAAATAGATCATTGCGTAAGCAGGAAAACAAATAAGGCTGATGTCATTCAGCACCTAGCAAAATTGCACAGGTAAGTTCATTTTAACGGAGTAAAATGGAAAAAGATGATGGCACTTTCTGCAAAATGTCCAATTTTCAGACACCCCTGGTGTTTTTGGACAGTCGGCTTTGAGAGACGATACCAGTATCTTAAATGAAAAATGTCTCTTCTCAGACTGCAGTGCTCAGTGTTGAAGAAATCTAACTAAGTTGTTTCTCCATGCTCCTCTCTCTCAGCTAGTATGGTCATTTTACATTGCAGCAACTGGTATTTTACATTGCAGCAAGCAGTAATCCATTTTAATCAGACTGAAGAACTGCAGGGTTTCACTGTGAATCTACGACTAACTGGGTTCTATAACCTGTCACTATATTTATGTTGTTACTGTAAACTCACACCTTTTTGGTCAGGATTAATGATAAACTAACATATCTCTTTCATCATCCCCTCTGGGCTAGATCTATTTCGAATATGGAACATGTGCGGCTTTATTTTGATTACAAATATACACCAACTTCCATTTAGCCAAATCAGGCTCGAATTTGCCAATAGACAGTCCAGGTGTAAATCCTCTTGGGTTGCTGCCAAGATCTTGTTTCCTTTGAATACACACCAGCTTGTGTGCTAACTGCAAATTTAATGACCAACCACTGATACTAGGGTTTGAGTTTCCAATCAAGGCTCAGATTGGAGGTGGATGGACCCACAAGTTAGCATTGCCAAACTTTGCACAAGTTCCCCACCACATCCCCAACTCAAGAGTCCTTGAATATCTTTAAGGCAGAGGTGGATAGATTCTTGATAAGTATAGGGGAGAAAGGTTATCTGGGCCTAGTTGGAAATGTGGAGTAATCCGATCAGCCATGATGTTTTTGATTTAAGGAGCTAGCTTGGGGTGAGGTGGCTGAGTGGCCTACATTTACGTGGAATTTGCATGTTGTTAATTGGGGCAAGACGATATGAGATTGGTGGAGGAGAATCTCCTCCTCCGAATGTTGTGATGCTCATCATTACTGGACTGTCTTCCTGCGCATAATCTTCCACTTTTTCCTGATTAATAATTCTGTTAGTTTCTTGTTTACTGGTGTCAGGTTAATGAGTTGGTAGATTTCCCCAAACTTCTGGCACAATCATCCATTCCTATCAAAACCATTATCAACATTCTCCCTTCAAAGCATTCACTCTCAAACCCTTTGTCCCTGATCATTACTGCTCTGTCTGCAATGTCTTTTCCCTTGACAGCTCCTTCAACATGTTGCATTCAGTTCACTCTTTGAATCTGTAATCAGGTTTCTGTCTGCACGACAGCACTGAAATGGCTCAACCACAAACAACAAATGGCATTTTTTATGAAGGTAACTGGTACCTTACTCTCCTTAAACCACTGCAGGCTTTAGTATCACTGGGAGAAGGGTGCCTTCCAATCAAACTGTGGAACTATGGACGTGATTTTCATTGCTTGGTACCTCCTAGAGAAATGCCAGGAACAACACCAACTACTCTATATCACCTTCATCGATCTAACCAACGCTTTTGACTCCGTCAATCAAAAAGTGCTATGAAAGACCCTGGCAATGGCTTGCCTTGCAGTGAAATTCAACAACATCCTCTGTCTCCTCCATGATGATGTCACCAATGATCCTCACCAATGGTAATATGATGAACTCCTTTGAGGTCGAGACAGGGTCAAGCAGGATGTGTCATCATCATCCCTGCCCTTTTCTCCATTTTCATCGCCACCATTCTTCACTTTGTCAAGAAAAAAAACTTTTCCCAGTGGTGTGGACATGGAATCTCAGCTAGTTGAAATCCAAGGAAAAAAATAACGCCAACCTCACTTGTGGAACTTCAGTGTGCAGATGGCCATGTCGTCTCTGCTCCCTTGGAAGAAAATCTTCAAGCCTCACTTAATGTCATCGTGGAAGCATACTGAATTAGACTCAGCCTCAAGTACCAGAAGATTCAAATCCTTTAATTGTCCCACGTCACGTCCTGGTCCATCTCTCCATTAAGGCCATCAGAGAAATCCTGGCAAACGTAGAACACTTCCCTTCCCCGGGAAGCTACCTCTCATCTAAGGCTGACATTGACGTAAAGACTCAACGTTGCATCCAATCTGTGAACACGGCCTTCGCACGCCTCGGGATGAGAGTCTTCAACGACTGTGACATCCGTGCAGATACCGAGAAACGTGTGCATACTGCAGTTATTTTTCCGACTGTTCTATATGGCTGTGAATATTGGAGTATGTAAAGGTGCCACCTCAGTACCATCCATGGTGTTTGAGATGGATTCTCCACATCACCCGGGAAGACAGGCATACTAACAACAGCATCCTTGAAGCAGCCAATAGCACCAGCATCAGGGCCATGATCATCCAAAACAAACTCAGCTAGGCCAGCCACAGGCTTAGGATGCTTGAGTTCCGACTGCCAAAGCAAATCATCTTCGCCCAGCTGAAGGAAGACACTCAAACGAGTGGTGGACAAAGGAAAGGTTTCAGACTCCCTGAAGGCTTCCCTCAAGAAATGCAACATTGATGTCAATGTGTGGGAACTCTCTTTCATAAGAAACTGAATCTCCTGTGTGAAAGAACAAAATTCTTTGGAAATACCCGGCGACAAGAGGAAGTATGGAAGACAAACCAGAGAAAGGAATGCCAATAAGCTCAAGCCCAAGGAGCACTCCCACCTTCTGGAAACTTCTGCCAAATGTGTGGTCAGATTGGGGCTCATCAATCACGTAAGGACCCACAGAACCCATGACCAGTGACATGGAATTTCCTAAGTAGACAATCATTAGCGAATAATTGCAGACATCAATGATGACTGGTGAGTGCAAGGTGAAAAGCTTTGACAACATGTGCCCTTTTCAGCAATACTCAAAGATTGTAATTTCCCCTAATTCCTGGCTATATCCCATGAATGGACTGCAACTCCCTGGTGAGACTTGCTGATGGACTGAATTTCTCAATAACTCTAAAGGGCTAGAATTTCCCAGTATGACTTTCTATTGAGCTGTGGTTCATAGGTTACAGATCAAATGGGCTGTTATTCAGACTGTGACTTGTTAATAGACTGTAATCTGTGTGACTTGTGAATGGACTGTAATTCCCAGTGTGACTGTCTAATGTGTTTGTATTTCCTTGAAATGGTAATGTAAATCTTCCTAAACATTGCTTTGCAATTTTATAGTTGTAGTGTGTACTGTCCCTGAGAATGAACAATAGTACATCTCAAATCTCTTTCTGTCTCTAAGATTCTAACTAAGAGGGAGGGTTCAGCTCTTTCTGCCTAGTCTAAAACATCTGTTTTACTAACGTCCGGTCCCACGGCACCAAAGATGGGTGTTGGATGCCCGCTATGTTTAATATTTAGTGTCCTCGCTAGCAAAAAACTGCAAATAACAGAGTGATTTAGCACATTCACTCTCTCCTATACATCATCATCCAATTCCTTAGAGGCTTACCTTCTTCCCACACCAGTCTCATTATGAGTAGTTATAGGGCTGGTATTTCACATCAGCCTCTGTGTCCCAGCTCCCTTGACAGCTCTAAACTCTCTGCACCAGTGCTCATTCCCTGTTATCCAGCCGGTGTTCTGAATTTTCAATTCGCAGCAGCACTGAAAGGTGACGGCCCCACATTCTATACTCCCACCATTAGTACCACAATCTAATCTTGGGTTTTTATTCATTTTCTCCCCAACTGAAAGGGATTTAAATAATAGCTCACTAATGAGAGATGCACACTGATGAGGACCTTACTACCTAGACTGTTGTTCCTTCCTGGAATGACATAGAGCATATTCTTCAGCAGAAATTCAATTTACTAAAATTGGCTGTGAAACATTTCCCTAGATAGTGACCATTTTAAAGCTCCCGCACAGATTGCACTCCTTTTTGTTTTATTGCCTCAAGTTAAGACCCATTAGATAGATAGATAGACGTGGAAACAGAAACATTAGAGTGAAATTAAAGTGCTTTTTGGCTGCTCCTGCTTATTTGGTCTTTTGCTCTGTCATGATATCTACAGTACAGGAATGCTGCATTCAATTATGGTCTCCCTGCTGTAGGGAAGATGTTGTGCAGCTTGAAAGGATTCAGAAAAGATTTACAAGGATGTTGCCGGGGTTGGAGAGTTTGAGCTATAGGGAGAGGCTGAACAGTCTGGGGCTAATTTCCACAGAACGTTGGAGGCAGAGGGGTGACATAATAAGAGGTTTAAAAAATCATGAGGGGCATGGATAGGGTGAATAGCCAAGGTCTTTTTCCCAAGGTAGCAGAGTTCAAAACTAGAGGGTATAGGTTTAAGGTGAGAGGAGAAAGATATAAAAGGGACCTAAGGGGCAACTTTTTCACGCAGAGGGTGGTGCACGTATGGAATGGGCTGTCAGAGGAAGTGGTGGAGGCTGGTACAATTACAACATTTAAAAGGCATCTGGATAGGTACATGAATAGGAAGGGTTTGAGAGGGGAATAGGCTAAATGCTGGCAAATAGGACTAGATTAATTTAGGATATCTGGACACCATGGAAGAGCTGGACCGAAGGGTCTGTTTCATGCTGTATAACTCTATGACTCTAGTACAAAACAGAAGCTTGTACTTATTACGGTTCAGTACAGCATGTAGTGTTCCCAACTATTCTATATTTTGAAGCTTAACCCATAATTTCACCCTTCATCCCAAATTCCGTCCCCTTGCATTTCTCTGTCACTTGTCCTGTGTTTTTTCAGGCAGTGACTGGGAGATTGGCAGTCTCCCATTGCTGCTGCCTTTGGGTGTTACTTGCCTTCAAAGTGTTTCACCATTGGTCACAAGGTAAAGATGGAATGTGGAACATAATTATTTCATTGAGCGGATTATTAATAGAGATTCTGCCGCTCCCCGATTCTCAGCAATAACTGCCCCCTGCTCTCATCAGCTATTCCCCCTCATAACCCCATTCCCATTTCCATCATCACTCACCCAATATCCACTACAGACAGACCTCAGCAGTCACGTGGAGATGAAAAAAATATTAACAATCTAATAAAGCTCTGACTGTCCTGTACACTTGAAAAACAACTCTCATTGATGAAACCCATTAAAAGTTCTTAAATCTCCAGAAGCGGACAATCTGCAAGAATAAATTTCATTTCAGCAACCAAAAAACGATACTTATTGGGGAAAAAAAAAATCTTTCTCAGGATGTGAATGTCACTGGTCAGGCCAATATTTATTGTCAATCCCTAATTGCCCAGAGGACAGTTGAGAGGCAACCACATTGCTGGAGTCTGGAGTAGGAAGTAGGCCAGACTGGGTAAGAATGGCAGATTTCTTTCCCTAAAGGACATTAGTGAAACAGATGGGTTTAATCCTATAATAACTTTTTAGGCCTGTTAATCAAAATGCACTCTGCTGAGATGAGTTGTTTTAGAGCTGTAGAACCTCTGAAATTTGTTCAAAATAAGATCATGATGTGGAGGTACTGTGGTGGGCAAGAGTTAGAAGTCACATGACACCAGGTTCCAAAAGCTTGTGATTTCAAATAAACCTGTTGGATTATAATCCTGGTGCTGTGTGTCTTCAAACAGAATAAAGTCAGGTATAATCTTGTAATGCTCGATCAACAGTGAATTCTACTGAAACTTCAGGAAGAGTGGCTTTTTTCTTCAAATCTATACCAGATGGCCTGCCAATCAAAATGGTCCATCAGTCTTTCTTTTAACTATAACTGATAGGTGCAACCTGTTTTTTTTTTTCTCCTATGTTTAAAGGACTGGGGCTTTAAATAAGAACGCATTACTTAAACAGATTTTATTTGCCCTTCAAGAGCATTTCCCCTAAATTAATGACTACCACACTGGGTTAAATTACTTGGAACAGTGGAAACTGTATCACAGAAACAGAAACTAGGAGCAGGAGTAGGTCATTTGGCCCTTCAGACCTGCTTCTCCATTCAGTATGATCATAGTTGTTCATCCAACTCTGTATCCTGTCCCTACTTCACCCCATAGCCATTGATCCATTTAGCCCTAAGAACTATACCTATCTCCTTGAAAACATTCAATGTTTTGACCTCAATGGCTTTCTATAGTAGTGAATTCCTCGGGTTCATCACTCCGTCCTTGAAGAAATTTCTTCTCATCTCAATCCTAAATGGCCCACCCTGTATCCTTAGACTATGACCCCTGTTTCTGGACTCTCTGGTCATTGAAAACATCCTTCCCCGCATTGACCTGTCCAGTCCTGTTAGAATTTAATAGCTTTCTATGAGATCCCCTGCCTCATTCTTCTAAACTGCACTGAATAAAGTCCTAACTGATGCAATCTCTCTTCATACATCAGTCCTACTGTCCCAGGAATCAGTCTGGTGAACCTTCACTGCACTCCCACAATAGCCAAAACATCCATCCTCTGATAAAGAGACCAAAAGAGACCTCCGCAAAGATGTTGCAAGCCACACAGGAAATTATTTTCTGAAGACAATCCCATCAGAGCTTCGTTTGGACTGTGCTGGGACTAGTGTCCTGGTAAACTGAATTGAATTGAATTGAATAACTAAGGCTGTAGAGACAGCTTTTCTCCAAATGGTGGGAGGGAAAAGAGAGGGATCAGGAGAGGGTAAATGTAGTAGTGGTATTGAGGGCAGCTATTTTGAGTTGAGGTTAAAGGGTATGATCCTGTGGTGATTACAGAGACATAGTAAGTCTAATTAAGACTTTAGGTGTGGTCTCACTAAGGCCCTGTATAATTGCAGTCCTGCACCTGTACTCAAATCCTCTTGCTATGACAGTCTTCTTTACCACCTCCTTGCTTGCTTTTTGTGACTGCTGTACAAGGACACCCAGTTCTCATTGCACCTCTTTGTTTCCCAATTTACTGCCATTCAGATAATAGTCTGCCTTCCTGATTTTGTTACCAAAGTGGAAAACCTCATATTTATCCATGTTATACTTCCTCAGCTTTACATTAACCCACTCTCAACTTGGCCAAATCACACTGAAACATCTCTGCACAGCTCACCTTCCCACCTGTCTTTGTGTTGTCTACAAACCTGGAGATATTACATTTTAGTCCCCTCATCAAGATAATTAATATACATTGTGAATAGCTGGGGTCCAAGCATTGACCCCATTCGTTACTGCCTGCCATTTTTAACTGCCTCCAGATTTGTTGCAGCTCAGTGAAATTCCAGCTCTCAGAACCCCTAAACAGTAATGAGAAAAATGACCAGATGATTCATTGTTTTAGATGTTGGTTGTTGGATAGCCAAAACAATGGGGAGAATGGCCCTGTCCTCCGTGATGAGACTATTTGCATGAATTTAAAAGAAGTACTGAGAGATACAGACTGAGCAGACAACATTCCTTTGCTTCCCACACTGCTAAAATGGATTAGAAACCCATTGTAGAAACTAATATATGAGACAAGGAAATTGCTACCTTGAGACCTACTAATGTACTGTTAAGGTAAACGCTCCTCAATATTGTCTGCATTTAAGAAGAGGAGTCGTGCCAAGGAGAATAAATATGATTCCATTGCAGATACATTAAATAGTTTCTATGGACAATAGGTTCGTGATGAACATACCTTCTTTCCAGAGACCACCATTACCAAACAGGCCATAACTGTCAAACCTATCATTATGTAGCAGATCTTCACCCTGATTTTGTTTCCAGCTGCATAAAGCATTTCATTCCTGTTTAAAAAAAAAAAATTTCATTAAGATTCCCATTTGAAAAGAAGAAAGTGACTGTGACATCAAACACCAAAGTGCCTGCATTGTTTCCAGTTCAAAATAAGTTGAGGTGTTGTTTTTAAATAAAAACTGAAAGAGCTGCGGACGCTGTAAGTCAGAAACAAAAATAGAGATTGCTGGAAAATCTCAGCAGAGCTGGCAGCTTCTGTGAGGAGAAATCATCAGAATTAACATTTCAGGTCCGGAGACCCTTCCTCAGAACTGATGGTAGCTAGGAAAATGTTGGTTTATATGCAAAAGATAGGGTGGGGAGAGGGGGTAAGGTGTTAATGATAGGTGGGGATAGAGCCCAAAGACCTACAATCTCACCTACCATCCCACCAGCATCCACATCCAGAAGATCATCAGGTGCCATTTTTGCCACCTCCAGCGAGATGCTACTACCAGACACATATTCCCCTCCTGTCCCTTGCCTGCCTTCTGCAGGGACAGTTCCCTCCAGGACACTCTAGTCCACTTTTCCTTCACTCCCAACACTGCTCCACGGCACCTTCCCCTGCAACCACCGAAGGTGCAACACCTGCCCATTTACCTTCTCCCTCTTCAGTATCCAAGGGCCCAAACACACCTTCCAGGTGAAGCAGCACTTTACCTGCACCTCACACAATCTAGTCTACTGCATTTGCTGCTCACAATGTGGTCTCCTCTACATTGGGGAAACAAAGCGTAGACAGGGTGATTGCTTCACAGAACGTCTATGTTCTGCCTGCAAAAAAGACCAAGAGCTTTCTGTTGCCTGCCATTTTAACACACCACGCTGTTCCCTGGCCAACATCGCTGTCTCAGGCTTGTTGCAGTGTTCCAACGAAGCTCAGTGCAAGCTGGAGGAACGATGACTCATTTTCCGCTTGGGGACCCTGCAGCCTTCCAGACTCAATATTGAGTTTAATAATTTTAGGGCCTGAACTCTCCCATGTCCCAGCCCCCAACCCCACACACCAGGCCTTGTTATCACATTACACACTACCTATTGTTAACCATTACCAGTCTCCATTAACAGCAATTCATCCTCCTACCCAGATCGTTATCAACTCTTTTTTTTCTGTCCAATTGTTATTCTCTCTCTTTGGGCCCCATCCCCACCTATTGTTTACTCCTTATCCCCTCACCCTATCTTCTGCATATAAACAGACATTTTCCTAGCTACCATCAGTTCTGAGGAAGGGCCTCTGAACCAGAAATGTTAACACTGATTTCTCTTCACGATGCTGCCAGAGCTGCTGAGCTTTTCCAGCAATTTCTATTTTTGTTGCTGTTGGTTTTGATATTTTTCATAGGCTTATCTTAATTAAATATATGTCCAAAAAAAACACAAAGCTCTCAGCCTCCCGTGTACTCAACTCTCCAGAATGTCTGGTCCTGCCACAGGAACCTGTATTCATAATGGGTTCAAATGTAAGTGCAGCTTTTAAGAGCATTAATAATGAGTTCTAATTAAACAGCAGGAAAGGACTAATGGGCAATAGATGCTGATTTTGCTGGCAATGGCCACATCCCAAAAGTAAACAAATAAAGTTTTGTTTTAACGTTCTGCAAGTAGATCAATTGTCCATGATGTAGCCAGCCTACCTCTTTTTCCCATTTTGGAGAATTGGCTTTGATGTATAACTCGGCAATGATTTTGCACCCTTGTCATTTGTGGAAGAGAGGAACGGTCTAAAACTAGAATATTAAACTTAAATCAGGGCAGTTGTGAGGGAATAAAAAGCAGAGCTGGCTCCAGTGATCTGACAAATTGGGATAGGTCAACAGAAGAACAGTAGCCAACATTTAAAGGGGATCATTCAGAATGCAGATTGGAATTTCTAATGCAAAAAAAAATCCAAAAGGAAGATCCACCATTTGTAGTTAACTAAAAAACGCTAAAGATATTTTCAAAGTTAACTGTGATATAATTGTGCAAAGTTGGGTGATAGGTCAGAAGAATTGACAGAATACCAAAAACAAACAACAGAAATTTTGCTTTGGTCTTTACTATAGAAGATATAAGAAACATCTCAATCATATGTGTAAATCAGGAAGTGGAAGGAAGGAAGGAATTTAGTGAAATCAAAACTGGGGAAGTGGTATGAAGCAAAATGATGAAACTGCAAACTGACAAGTCTCCTATACAGACGAACTTTCATCCTGGGGTGTTAAAGCAGGTAGCTAATGAGGTAGGTGATGTTTTGGTGCTAATTTTCCAAAATTCCCTGGACTGGAATGTAGCAAATATAACCTTTCTAATTGAGAAGGGAGAGAGGCAGAAAACAAGAAAATGTAAGTTAGCTTGATGTCTATCACGGGGAAGGTTTTAAAATTGATCATTAAAGAGGTTATAGCCACAAATTTAGAAAGTCTCAAAGTAATCAATGTGTCAGCACGATTTTGTGAAAGGGGAATTGTGTTTAATTAAGAGAGAGAGGGTGGTGATGGAGGGTTGTTTTTCGGTCTGGAGGCCTGTGACCAGTGGTGTGTCACAAGGATTGGTGCTGGGTCCACTACTTTTCATCATTTATATAAATGATGTGGATGTGCATGTAGAAGGTATGGTTAGTAAGTTTGCAGTTGACACCAAAATTGGTGGTGTAATGGATCGTGAAGAAGATTATCTCAGAGTATAATGGGACCTTGATCAGATCGGCCAATGGGCCGAACAGTGGCAGATGATGTTTAATTTAGATGAATGTGAGGTGTTGCATTTTGGTAAGGCAAATCAGGTCAGGATTTATACAGTTAATGGTCCGGTCCTGGGAGTGTTGCTGAACAAGAGACCTAGGAATGCAGGTGTATAGTTCCTTGAAAGTAGTGTCACAGGTAGACAGGGTGGTGAAGAAGGCATTTAGCAGACTTGCCTTTATAGGTCAGTGCATTGAATATAGGCTTTGGGAGGTTATGTTGTGGCTGTACAGGACATTGGCGAGGCCACTTTCAGAATAAAGCATTCAATTCTGCTCTCTCTGCTATAGGAAAGATGTTGTTAAACATGAAAGGGTACAGAAAAGATTTATAAGGATGTTGCCAGGACTGGAGGGCTTGGGCTATAGGGAGAGGCTGAATAGGCTGGTGCTATTTTCCCTGGAGCATCAGAGGTTGAGGGGTGACCTTATAGAGGTTTATAAAACATGAGCAGCATGGATAAGGTGAATAGCCAAGGTCTTTATCCTAGGGTCGGGGAGTCCAAAACTAGAAGGCACAGGTTTAAGGTGAGAGGGGAAAGGTTTAAAAGGGACTTGAGTGGCACTTTTTCACGCAGAGGGTGGTGAGTATATGGAATGAGCTGCCAGAGGAAGTGGTGGCAGTGGGCACAATTACAACATTTAAAAGGCAACTGGATAGGTTACATGAATAGGAAAGGTTTAGAGGGATATGTGAGAAATGCTGGCAAATGGGACTAGATCAGTTTAGGATATCAGATCGGCATGGACGAGTTGGACCAAAGGGTCTGTTTCCATACCGTACAACTCTAAGTTATTGGACTTCTTCGAGGAATGAACATGTGCCGTGAATAAAGGGGAGCCAGTGGATGTACTGAACTTGGATTTCCAAAAGGCAGTCAATAAGGTACCATCTCAAAGGTTATTGTGGAAAGTAAAACTCTTTAAGGGGCTAACATATTGGCATGAATCAAAGCTTAACTAGCTAACAGGAAACTGAGCAGATGTAAGTCAATCATTTTCTCGTTGACCAGGTATAGCAAGTAGCAACGTTTGTTGGTGAGGTAAAGATAGATAGGGAACTAAATTGTGAAAAGGGCATAAGGCAGCAACATAGGTATATCAATAGATCAACCAAGTGGGCAAAGATCAGTCAAATGGAGTACAAAGTGGATAAATGTGAAGTTTTCCATTTTCTCAGAGAGGATGGTGAGACTTTGAAATTCCCCCCTTAAAAGACAATGTAAGCAAAGTCTGTAAATATTTTAAGGCAGAGGTGCATAGCAATTGGCTGAAAGATCATCTGGGGTGGGGTTGGGGGGCGGGTGTGGTAGGTGGTAATGTGGAATGATCCAATGAGCCATGATCTTACTGAATGGTGGAGCAGGCTCAAGGTGCCGAGTGGCCTACTCTTGTTCCTAATTCATATATTCAAATGAATGCCACCTCTTTTGATTTTTTTAAAAGAGGCAGATACTTCAAGCCTGTGTGACACTATTTCCACAATGTAGTTGTACAATATTACTGTGAAGGAATGGTTTGGCACTACAATTCTCCACCTGGTATTTGACAGATACATGTTTGTTGCTGGATTTTACTATTCCTGTAAAGCTAGATGTCTTCGTTCCTGAGTAGTGCAGCCTGGTTATAATGTCTGACTTCTAAAAAGCTATCGAGTTTAAGATAGCCTTCAAGGTAATTGCTAAATCAGTCAATTAGAACAGTAGTTTTAATAAGTGCATCCAGTTATTTGTACGTGGCCTAACAACTGAAAAATCAATGTGTGTCAATGTAATGGCTTGGAAATTTCTGATATCAAGTCAGAAATAGCCGACAGGACATTATTATTCATTTAAAAGTACTTTGCATCATCAACACTAATTCCTTTCATAATATTAGCACCATGTCTGTTTCTACACCTTGAGGACTGTTCAGAAGACAGCTCATCACCACCTTCTCCAGGGCAATTAAGGATGGAAAATAAATGCTGGCCCAGCCAATGATTTCCATATTCTATGAATGAAACAAAAATTCTGGATGCTTAATAAACCAAAGTGGTTTATAGATATAATTAGTAAATCTCTAAAGGTTTGTTTATTTTTCATGATGTGTTACAGAAGGCATTACAAATTCAGGTGTATTATTCTAACAGTTTTGTAACACTGCTGTCAGATGCTTCATTGATGCGAAAAATGCTGTAGATCACAGCAGGTCAGGCAGCATCCATGAAGAGAAAGCAAGCTAATGTTTCGAGTCAAGATGACTCTTCATCAGCTCATTTCAGCTCAAACGAAGAGTTGTCTAGACTCGAAATTTTAGCTTGCCTTCTTTCCATGGATGCTGTCAAGGTTAAAAATCACATGACACCAGGTTATAGTCCAACAGGTTCATTTGAAATCACAAGCTTTCAGACCTCTGGTCCTTCCTCAGGGTCCTTCCCTGTGCCAGTATACCTCCTCTTCCACACTGCACCTGAGGAAGGAGCAGAGCTCGGAAAAGACACACAATTGGAGGAGACTTCATAGAGAAGAAAAGTTTACTATTGCACAGTAAGATGAACATGTCATACAGGTATCATTCCCCAGCTCCTGAGTCCAATCCCCTAAATATGCCTTCAACTAATTCTTTAAAATAAGCAATATCTGTGAAGTCCCTTACTTGGATAAGAACGTTTCTACTAATGTGCACTTCAACACCCTCTTCACGGACAGAAAGTAATCAATGGCATTCGAACATGGTGGGCATTTTGTTTTCCCTACGATAGTCCAGAACATATATCACAGGGAATCAGGTTCTTGTTGAGATAGATATCTCAAAGTTTATTTACAGCATTAAGTTTTTAAAAATTCGTTCAAAGAATGTGGGAGTCACTGGCTGAATGAGCATTTATTGCTCATCCCTAGTTGTCCTTGAGACTAAAGGAATGACACTGACTTTCCAAGTCAGAATGGTGAGTGTCTTGGAGGGCAACTTGAAGGGGGTGGTATTGCATGTATCTGCTGCCCTTGTCCTTCTAGATGTTTGTGGTGGGTTTGGAAGGTGCTGTCTAAGGAGCTTTGGTGAATTTCTGTGTGCGTCTTTATAGATGGTGCACATCACTGCTATCGAATATTGATGGTACTTGCATAGCTACAATATCACAGACTTACACATGTGGTTTGAGGAGGGCCTAGAGATAGTCACTAGCCTCTAAAAGAGCAAGTGAGAGAGGACAACGCAGCAACAGTCACCAGGAGCTAATAGAGCAGGAGAAAGGATGATCCAGCTATGGTCCGAATGGAACTTAAACGTTAATTCTTTCAGAACCATTACTTTAATAACAGTACACTGAGGAAGAATCTCCATTAAGGAACTCTTTCCTTATAGGCAGGGTAGCAGGGGCCTTGAAAAAGTGTTTCGGATCACTCAGTGATGTTTGGCGATCTAGTAATAGTCAAAAAGAGCATTTTGAGACTGTTTCAAGGACTCTCTGTTGCAAGACTATATCTTTACTTTTCTGCATTTTTGGTAGTGAAATAGGAAAAGGACTGTTTTAAAACTAAGGACGGGATTGCTGCACTGCTGCCTCACAGCGCCAGGGACCCGAGTTCGATTCCACCCTCGGGTGACTGTCTATGTGGAGTTCGCACATTCTCCCTGTGTCTGTGTGGGTTTCCTCCGGGTTCTCCAGTTTCTTCCCACAGTCCAAAGATGTGCAGGCTAGGTGGATCGGTCATGCTAAATTGCCCATATGGTCCAGGGATGTTCATGTTAGGTAGGTTAGACAAGGGAAATGCAAGGTCTGGGTGGGTTGCTCTTCGGAGGGGCGGTGTGGACTTGTTGGGCCAAACGGCCTGTTTCCACACTGTAGGGATTCTATGAATAAAGTAAGTTACTGAAACTCATTGTAAGTGGCATTTACTCTGCTGCTTCGATTAACTCATGGGGGAAGGTTGGCTGCAGATATGCTGTTTACAAATTAAAATTCAGCTGGCAACAAGTAGCTGATTGGTTTGAGGAATGGTGACCAGTTATAATGACAAAAACCACCAGCCTGTCAACAAGCATATGATTGGATCCTGGGTACCTGGACAGCTTGTGGATATGAAAAGGTATTTCCAGAAGCCTTTGGACCTATGAAAGAGGAGGTGGTGAGTCTCTGCGGTAGAAATTACCTGAAGAAAGCTAGTTTATTTTCCCTCACTGGTTACTGTAAGCTGTAGCTTTTAACCAATAAGTTGGAGACTTTATAATTTGTGAATCAGTCACTCTATTGCCACCTGCAAGAAAATGAAAAGTAGCCAGATAAGAGAGATTAAAGAAACAGCAAGCAAAAGGATCATCTCAGCGAACCCTCTGGACAAGAACCATTGAATTGCCTCTTTAGTGTTCCCTCTGGCCATAAATGTAGGTAAGTGTGTGTGTGAGCATGCGTGTGTGTATGTACATGTGCGTGTTAGGGGAGGGTAGAATTTTACATGGGATGAGACTTTAACTAGGAGAATTATAAGTTGACAGTTCATAGATTCTACATTTAATGATTTCTAATAAAAGTAATTCTTGTTAAGTCCAGAAACCTAGTCTATGCTTTGTTCTTCTGGGTCTAAGCAAACTGGTAAATTGGGGAACATTTGTGTACTTTGATAAAATCTTTAACTTTGGTGATGACCCTGTGAATTGCAGAGCTTGATTTGCAGTGTGCCGTCCCAGTGAGGTGTGACGCTGTGCATAGTCTCATTGGAGTTAACCTGCAGGGAATAACTGATCTCTGATTACTACAGCTTTGAAGACATGGTTAAAAGGATATAAGTTAGGCATAGCTTTTCATTGCTCCTAGCTGAACAACCGGACACAAGTCAAAACATCTCAAAATATGACATTTTAGGATTGATCAGCACTCCACTTCTGCATTTAGAGTTAAAAGGATCAGCTGGACCGGTTATATTATGAGTTTTATTTGGGGTGCGGGGGTGGGGGGAAGGTGAGCAACCGGTTTAGACTCTGGCTTGGCTAAAACAGAAGGCTGAGAAGAGTGCTAGTTTTTGAGAGTTAACAATTGAAGGCCTGAGTGAAACAATGGTTTTTCTGTGAATTAAAGGCAAATACTGAGAGACAAGGCTGGGAACTATGTGGACAATTCCATTTTGTGGAGTATTAGAAAACTGAATGTGTAAACATTTCAGCTTGTTGTGGAACAGGAAGCTGGATGAAATGGGCTAGTTGTCCTGTAGTTTAAAAGGTAAAAAGACAAACTGTACTAGGAACATTCAGCTGCTGTGGGATATTTCTAAGGTGATGGCACAAAGGAACTGAAACAAAATGAGTTCAAAAGTTTAGCATTTTATTGATATTTCTTTCATGATGTTATGCACCTGCTCATTGGGTCTCTGTATGTTGTTCACAGTCTTGTGACTTTGAAACACTTCAATAAACTTTATTTTATAATCCTGATGATTTTATAATCCTGTGCATTTTCCTGCATCATTAGCCATTTTATTCTGGACTCAAAATAATTCAACTGTTACAAGGCAAACAAGAAGATAACCAAAAATGATAGTTAAATCCAATTTGTGGTACAGAACCTGTGGTTCATTAAAATGTTCCAAATGTTCACTTACGAAACCATTTCTGGTATATCCTGCTCTCTTTTGAAGCGCCCAGACCACAGGAGAAGCTTCTTGTCTAATGCTGAAGGTGTACGGCCTTGGAGTTTGTAGGCAGAACAGGCTGTAAGAAAATAAGTGGTTACACCACAGGTTAGACTGAGCAACAACACAAGTAATTTCAACACAAGTCTGTAATAATCACTTGTAAGTAAGGAGGACAGGCGGCAGAATATTATGCCGTCGATTTGATTCCTTCTGTCTCAGTCACAAAACCTAACCCAGGTACAATCAACAAAGGTCAGGAAGGACTAATCAGCGAATTTCTCTACTGTCAACTAACAAAATACAGCATCACCAGGCCTAATTTTAGTGCTCCACAAATACAATAAATGAATAAGCAATCTAATTAAATTTAACATCCTGAAAGCAAGGCAAAATTGGAGTGTAATTTCTAACATTTAAGCAGCATGTTACAACATGCAGTGCCCACAGGTTGATACCCACTGCACGTTCCTTCTATGAGGCAGAGACAAAACCCTGGGCTAAAAGCTGGCAGCCTCAGAGATGGCCCTACCCTTCCCAACTAATCCCATCACCCACCATGGTACCCTTCTAGGGAGATCCTGGAGCCAGCGGCCATTGTTCTGGGTTCCCAATGGGCACCAAGTGTCAACTTCAAACTGGGTTTCTGAACTCAAGCTATGTCGACTGGATATCAAAGAAGACACATCTGGGGAAATTTTCACAGTACTAACAAGATTCCAAAAGTACTGAATAATCAAGGGGCAAAACGAAGAGAAGAAATCCAAACAATAGCTATCACTGGAAAAAGTGCTTGTTAAACTAATGGAGTTGAAGACTAATAAATCACCTGGACCTGATGGGAAGCAGCTTAGGATATTAAAATGAGTAGCTGCAGAGATAGTAACCTTCCAGGATTGTGCTAACTTTGGCAGCACACAGAGTAAAATTGGAATGATTTGGACAGATACATGAGCAGGAAAGGTTTACAGGGATATTGGTCAAATGCTGTCAAATAGAACTAATCTAGTTTGGGAAAACTGCTCGGCATGGACGAGTTGGACCAAAGAATCTGTTTCCATGCTCTATGCCTCTATGATACAGAGATGATTAGCATGGCCCCTGCACAATGATGACATGCAAATTTGTGAAGCTTTCTGTATTCAAGGAACCCTCTCGTGGCACAGTGGTAGTATCCTTACCTCTGCACCAGGAGGCCAGGGTTCAAGTCCCACCTGCTCCAGAGCTGTGCAATAACATCTATGAACAGACTGATTAGAAAATAGGTTAAACTTTAAAAAAAAAACTTCTGGGAATCCTTACATTCTGTAAACTCTCAGAGGATTTGAAAACTGCAAATGTAACACCTTTATTTTTAAGGGGAAAAAGACAAAAAACAGCTAATATAGGCCAATTACCTTAAGATTGTTTTTGGGAAATCGTTGGACAATATTATAAAGGATGGAATAGCAGAGTATTTAGAAATGTATTATATGATGAAGCTGAGTCAGCATGGTTTCATGAAGGGGAAATCATACCTGACAAACTTATTTTGAGGCAGGATAGATAAAGGGGAAGTAAAGTAGGTAATATGTTTGGATTTTCAGAATGTGTTTGATAAGGTATCACATATTAGGCCTTTAATAAGGTCAGTGTGAGAGGAACTATATTAGCACAAATAGAGGATTGGCTAACTAATAGACGCAGAGATTTAGGATAAGGTAGATCATGTTCAGGATGGCAGCCAAAACTAATGGTGTGCTACAGAGATCCATGCTGGGGCAAGAATAATTTGCAATATATATTTGTAACTTGAATGACGAAAGTGAATGTACTCTAGCTAAGTTGGTGCATGCTACAAAACTAGATAAGAATGCAGGTGGTAAGGATTATACAAATTGTCTTTGGAGGATATGGATGGTTAAGTGAGTGGGCAAAAATGTGGCAGATAGAATATAATGTGGGGACATGTGAGGTCATGTGCTTTGGCAGGAAGAATAGAGGAGGTGAATATTGTTTAAATGGAAAAGACTGCAGAAAGGTACAAAACTTCAGGATTTGAGATCCCTTGTGCATGGATCCCAAAGAGCTACCATTCTAGTTCGGTGGGTAATAGGGAAGGCAAATGGAATGTTGCCCGTTATTTCAAAGGCAATGGGGTATTAAAGTAGGGAGGCCTTATGAAAACTATGCAAAGTATTAGTCAGCTGGAATAGTGAGAACAGTTTTAGGCCCCTTATCTAGAAAGATATACAGACATTTGAGGCAGTTCAAAGAAGGTTCACCAGACTGAGACCATGTCTGAATGTACTGTTTATCAGGTCACGAAGCTCAAAAAATGCTGAGATGAGAGATGGAGGAAACAATCTTCCCCAGTTAACAGAAGATGGGTAAAACAGACCTGGGAGAGTGGAAGAAATGCAAATGTAAATGCTTTAGCATTTCAAATAATCAAGCTATTTGCCTTATGAAAGTATTATATTCTTCTCATTTAAAATCCTACAATTGAACAGCACAGCAAGAGGCCATTCTATCTGAGAGAGCTAACCATTCAGCCCATTCCCTTGCTCTTTCACCAGAGCCCTAGAAACAAGTCTTTCTAAGTAAAGATCCAATTGCTTCATCAAAGTTATGAGGGGATGTCTCTCCTTCAGTCTTTCAGGAATTGCATTTCAAATCGTAACAATTCAGTCGAAGAAAAAATATCTTCATCTCTCTCTGTCTTTCCTGCCAATGGCATACCATACATAAACGTCAAGCTTCCAAATTACAGGCAATAACAAAATCAGCCAATAATTCTCTTCATTTAATCAAAATGCTATGTGAGTCATAGATCAGTCTGGCTAATAGTCAGACATTTGCTTTCAAAAAAGAATGAGGCAATCACTCCACTTTAGAGAATGGTGAAATATCATCATCGCTGCCTGTCCTTCAGCTTAATTCTACTTTTGCAATGTCATTCTGCCTCAGTCAGCAATGTTTAATTGAAGTTCAGTCAAAGTTTATGGATCTTACCCACCACTTAACATTTAATATCCAGACAAGTCAACTACGATCTTTGTGCAATAACTGCTTGGTAATTTAAAATAAAGCCATTACTTTTATTTGTCTCAGCCACTGTAGCAAGTCATTGCAGCAAAGCAGAGAGGGATAGGAGGGACAGGTCACGATAGGGATTGCCTCTGATACAATAGCGTTCCCAGCCTCACCTAATTACTGCTGATCAGAGTGGTTTACTGTATACAGAGCTGTTCAGTATTTTTCCTACTTACAATAAACCTGTTTTGAACAGACAGAATAAAATGTTGTGGTTACAATAAAAAGGATAGAGACAGGGTGGAGGAAGGAAACTAGTGTTATGGTGCTGGGGAGAAGCACATGAGCGAACAGATGAGAGATTGTGCAATTACTGATATTGTCACTGGGCTACCAATCCAGACTATTTTGTTTTTATTTCAAAAATATACTTTATTCATAAAAAATTCTTGTATATACACATAGCCACTAAAGTAGTTGGTTCCGTACAGTAACATATGAGGAAACAAACATTGGAGTTTGACTCTATCCAGCAAACAAACCCAAGGCATTTGTTATTTGTAGAAGACTATATATACATGCATTTGAGACAATCCAAACTAAAACCCTGTGGACACGAGTTCAAATCCCAGCATGGGAGCTGGTGGAATTTGAATTCAGCCAACAACATCTGGACCCGAAATCTTGACCATAAAACTATCATCATTCTTGTAAAAACTCATTTGATTCACCAGAGCCCACTTAGGAAAGGAAATCTGCTGTGACTCCATTAATTCTGAAATGGCCTAACAAGGGCAATTAGGGATGGGAACAAATTCTGGCCTGTCCTATGATGTCCACAACCCGTGGATAATTTCTTTTTAAATGGGTAGGTTGGGAGGGAATGGGACAGATAGGCAGAGAGTGTGAGGAAGTGGGAAAATGGAAGTCAAAGGAAATGGTTATAATTGGGCTGTAAGGAAACTGAGAGTTGATTTATTTTTAGCCAGGTTTTCTCCTCTTCTAGGTTCCACTCAGGGCAGGTTGAAACATTGGCTTTAACTGGACACCGCAGTTCTTATATCCGCAGCACTAGAGCCTGACAATGTTGTCTAAGAAGTTGCTAGTACAGGAAATGACTTAGTAACTTTTTATTTTTGAGTGGACTGGGGACTGTATGTATTGTGAGAGCACAGGGTGAATTGTCAGATGAAGCAATGCATCATCTTCTGTATGTCATTGATCAGATATTTGTATCATTGAATTTCATTCCAGGTGTTAAGTCCTGCAGGATGTCAATGCGGCTAGTGACCAGGGTTTCACAAGATTGGCTTGTATTCTCTTTATTGCACATGTGGCACTGCTGGGGCCTTGAGCTGCCAGCTAACATTTTGGCTATTAGTTTTCCTACCTGGGGTGGACAAATGGGGCAGACCTATCTGGCTGGATTCATTTCAGTATCACTGGGCCAGGGAGTGGAGGCTGTTTGTATCTGTACCCAGATATACATTTGTATGTATGTGCATTGCCAATCTGCTCAGTAAGGAGGAAAACCATACAGACATTAAAAGCTGCTTCTGTATTAAAATCCTGTGAACTCAGGTTCACTCTTCAATCACAAAATCCTTCCCTTTCCTCTGGAAACTTCCCATGAATCACAATGGACTTAACAATGAGTCTTTTATCTCCTTTCTCCTTGCTGTTCGTGGCCCCAATTACATTTTCCAGATGAAGCAGTGATTTACTCTAGTCCGCTGTATTTACTGCTCACAATGCGATCTCCTCTACACTCTACACAAACACAGAGTGGCTGATTGCTTTGCAATTCCATTGCAGTGCACAAGCTTGACCTGGAGCTTCTTTTTGCTTGTCACTTTAATTCTGCACCTTGTTCTCGCACTGACATCTCTGACTGCCGCCTCCTCCTGCACTGTTCCAAGGAAGCTCACTACGAACCTCAAGGAACAGTGCTTCATCTTTCAAGTTGGCACTTTGCAGCTTTCTGGATTTGACACCGGATTTGACAATTTCAGACCATCACCCCAGCACTCATTTCATTTCTGTATTCTTTGTGGAAGGTAGTTTTACTCCTGTCTTGGCTTTTGAACAGCAGTCATTCCTCATTGCACCCCTTTGCAACTCCTCAGTGTTATGGTCCAGACCAGACCCCCTGAAGATATTCAAAGAAAGTAGTTGAAACAAGTGCACAGAAGCAGGTATCCTGTCTTCAAATCACCTTTTATTTACTTGTGCATAGTACACTGGCTGTGGCCAGCCAGTTTGGAGTCAGTCCCCTGGACCGAGGAGATTCTAAATCCAATGTTTATTACCAAGTCACCCTTCACTAGTGCACAACACATTGGCTGTGGCCAATCAGCTCAGAGTCAGCCCTCGACTGAGGAGATTGTAATCTGGTTATATTTTCTTTTTCTCTCTTTCTTTTTCTAGTGCTCAACTGAGGAGATTCTAATCTCCTGGTTAAATTTTTTTTGTCCTTTTTTCGGGTGAGGCACAGTAAAAAAACACCAGGTGTGCAAATAACTTTATTAACATACCACCACCAGGAAAAACATCCATGTGACCAAAGAATCAGTATCAAGCACAGCCCCTGCAGGGGGAATACCTATGTGAAAGAAAAAGTGATGGGGAGGGTAGGGATCAAATCAAAACAGAGTTTGTGGGGGAAACAAAGCACTCCACACCCCGCAGTGCCCACCTTTCCCAAAAGGCATCAAAAGCACCGGTGCACAATCCTATGTTTGTATTAGTCAGCCAGGGCATTCCTGACCGGCCCAAGTTAACAACCCCAATCAAGGAACTCATACTCAACAAGATCCACCTGGTTCCAATCACTGCAGCAGCCTACACCCTAATGTTTCTTATTTTAAAGGTGAATGTAAAGTGTCCCAGATGCGATGCGACTGGTCAAACTACTCGATGTTAAGCAAAACTCAATTTATTTAAACACTAGTTAAAATACAACCAAAGAAAGAGGAATTTAGAATAAGAATGCTATTGGAAACTTAACAGAACAATAGATACAGTAACTATTACTAATTAACTGTTCCAATAGAGTAAACATCCCATGAACTCAACCCTTGGCAAAAAAGAAAATTCAAACACAGATTCTCACATGCACATCTCCAATCCAGGAGGAAAGAAACATCACAAGAAAATTCAGAGTGGCATCCAAGAGGCATTCACTGAAGCTTCCAATGCTTTTAAGACCTCAATAGCTTCTGCTGCTACTGAAAAAAATCATAACCCAGAAATCTGGATCTGTGAGAGCTGACCACACTCTGGTTGCTTCCATTGTTCCAACGTTTTTTAAAAAAAAACCAAGGCCTCACAAGTTATTTAATTTCTTAGAGACAGCTTGTCGCCTCTGCCTTACGAACTCTCTTCAAAAATAAAATGCCAGGACAAAATAACCTCTTGGAAGCCACATTATCGTCACATCAGACAAAGGAGATTAATTTCACATGGCAACAGAAGTTCTTTGTGAGCCTTAGATATGCCCCAAAAAAGGGGGTAACCCCAGAATCCTCCCCCCTGAGCAATCTCTATACATGCTAACCCACAGTCCTGTCCCCAACATATACAAAGCACCCACAGAAATGGGAACTGCTCCTGAATGAGTTGGTCGGTGCCAGACGGATGACAATTTTCCAGCCCCTAGCAAAATGTCCTGGGAATAGGGAGACAACATGCCCCTCTCCTGCTGCGTTCCTGCACTATTCTGCCAGTCTTCCCTCCTCCTAGTCCATTGCCATTGGTGTTGGGAAAATTCTAGCCCCCTCCACTTCGTTTCCTTACACATTCTATTCCCACATACTCTGTCCCTCCACCCCCAACTCACTCTCTCACCCTCTCCTGCAGACCCATCCTTTGCATTCTAATTCCCTTCCTGCAATCGGTCAATCCACACTAAGAATATTTCCAACTTTTCCCAGGTCTGAGGATTGGTCACAGACCTGTCACATCCATCACAGTAACAGCAGAAAGTGTTGAAGAAACTCGAACACCAAGATAGGTTGGTAAGTAACTTCTGAAGGAGACGTAAGGAAGCTACAAAGGGATAATATATGAGGTGATTGGAGAAAGGTTTGACAAATGGTGCATAATGAAGGAAAAGTGAGAAATTGTCCAAATTGCAAGAAGATGAAAAGAAGCATATTATCTAAATGGTCAGAAATTGAAGATTTCTGAGAGGCAGAGGGATCTGTGTGTCCTCGTGTGAGAATCGTAAGGGGTTAGTATGCAGATACAGCAAGTAATTGACAAAGCTATAAAAAAGAAAAGACCATGACAAATAGGAACAAGGGTAGGCCATTTGGCCCATCAAGTCTGCTCCACTGTTCAAAATGATCATGGTTGATCTGACATTTCTCCTGTCTGCTTTCCTCATAATCCCTGGTTCCTATACTGATCAAAAATCTATCTTAGCCTTAAATATACACAAGGATTCTGCCCCCACAGCCCTCTGTGGCAAGGAGTCACAAAGACTCACAGGCCTCTGAGAAATCAAATTCCTCCTGGTCTCAGTCTTAAATTGGCACCCCTTTATTCTGAGACTATGCCCTCTGGCCCTAGACTCTCCTGAAGGGAAACATCTCTCAGCATTGGCCCTGTCAAATCCCTCAAGAATCCTGTATGTTTCAACGAGATCACCTCATTCTTCTAAACACCAGTGAGTAGAGTCACAACCTGTGCAGTTTTTACTCATAAAATAATTCCTCCACACCAGGGATCAGCCTAGTGAACCTTTTCTGAACCGGAATCATAGAATCCCTACACTGCAAAACTGCCTGCAACTAAGTCCTACCTTTCCTTCAATAGAATGTTATTATTAACACGTATAAAAGTCACAATGGATATGAAACACAAACACTGTCTCCCTTTCCAATGAATGCTGTCAGACCTGCTGAGTTTCTCCAAAACTTCATTTTGTTTATTTCAGATCCCCAGAGCGCTTCACTTTTATGATGTCTTTTTTTCGCCACAGGTTATTTAGTTCCGGACTTGCCGGGGGGTGGGCTCCTGTAGCTGTTCCTTACCTGGCTGAGGTGCTGCAGGCTGCATACTGGGCTCTGTAGCTTGAACAGCTCCGCCCTGGTTCACTCGGCTACAGAGCAGCGCTGTCCCAGGCCTGGCTCTCGGAGGGACCGGGACTCTGGCAGGGATTGCGCCTGGCATCAGGCTCCTGGCTCTCAGTACAGTTCTCCACATCTCTCGACTCCGGGGACGGGACAGCAGCGGAGTACAGGAATCACCGAAGTGCTGGTGGGGGGTGGGGGGGAAAGAAACCCACAGACGAGGTGGACAGTTCTCAGCAATGACGCTCGTCTGCTCTGATGCAAGGCGCTGCTGGAGGAAGTAAAAAGGCTGAAGTTTCAGTTCTGTTGTTTCCTCCCTGCCTCCGTCACTGTCTGACTCATGTCCTTGGGAAATCACGCTGATTTCCCCGAAAGAAGAACTTCTGCTGAAGGGATTGCAGACTTTCCTTACATATTGTGGAGTTTCCAGCAATCAGCTGAGACCCCAAACCTGGTTCAAGTGGCAGTTGCCAAAGGCTAGAAAGAGTTGCAAAGCTCCCAGTCACTTCCCTCCTCTCTCACTTTTTTGCTTTCTCTTTATTTTTCCCAATTCCTTCTCTCTCTCTGTCTTTTCAATTCTCAGTCCTTTATTTTCCCGTCAGTGTCTTCCTTTACCTCTCAGAGTGCCAGGTATAGCACAGGACTGTGCCCCCTGCAAGTTCCCCTCCGAGCCACTCACCATCCTGACTTGGGAAAATATTCCGGTTCCTTCACTGCCGCTGGGTCAAAATCCTGCAATTCCCTCCCTCAGGGCACTGCAGCAGTTCAGGAAAGCAGCTCACCACCTTCTTGAGGGCAACAAGGGATGGTCAATAAACACTGGGCCAGCCAGCGATGCCCACATCTCATGAGTGAGTTTTAAAAAAATATTTCAACATTTTTGTCTGACCCATGATGTTCCTTGTTCAAAGAGAAGTCTACAGGCAACCTCCTCTTGCTTTCGAGTTGGCACGTTGTATACCACTGTAGGTCACAGAGTGGGGAAGAGGAGACTGGCACGGCTACACAGATGATCAACATGATGGTCCTATTCTCACTGAGATGAGATGGGCTTTGTTAGGCAGCTGATTTGCTAGCCTGATCTTCACGTGGATTCCTTCTCCCCCTCCCCCCCCCCCCCCCCCCCCCCCGCCACAACCTCGGTAGACGATGGCTTCCCCCACGTTGATTAATACCAACTCTGCCTGTATTTGCTGCATGGGAAGGTAGGACTGAGAAGGAGCACTGTTTAGTAGTCCCAATATTCCCCTCTCCTTTGGCCAGCTGAGCTGCCAGACTCCGCTACTTCTTCCAGACAGGCAGCGGCCAAAGGGCATGGCCTCCAGTTGTCAGTGACACTGCACACCCGAATTCCAAGTGTTGTTGTAGCAGATGTGTGGAGACCTGGAGCCAGGAGATGCTCTTGACCCAGTGGCGAGTTCACTGAACCAAGAATGTTTAGTCAATGTTCATCCATCGAATGTGGCCAAGCCAGCCCAGATAGTGTCGGCTTAGAAACGTGTGTGGGCTGATGGAATGCACATTCTCAAGGGCTTCTTAGTTTATGACTTTTGGTTGCCAAGAGAACTCAAGGATTTTCTTGGTTTACAATGGACTACAAATTCTATACCATGGCAAAAATCATCAATGATGAATCCAGGGACTAAATTGAAAAAATAGTCCTATCTGAAAACATCAGGAACAGGAGTAGGCTGCTCCTTTTCTTCACCATTCTGTAGATTCTAGATCATGGCTGAACATCTCCCTTCATGCCACTTTCCCACCCTATTTCATATCCATTGGTATTGTTAAGTGATTTCTGTCTTGAACATGCTCAATGTTTGAGCTCCCTCAGCACTCTGGGCTCCAGAATTTCAAGATTCACCACAAAGTGAAGAAATTCCTCTTCATCTTAGACTTAATTTTCTGATTTTTATCCTGAGTTATATCCCCGGTACAATTACCAGTCAGGGGAAACAGCCTATTAAGATCCACTCTGTCATATTCCCTGGAAGAATTTTTAATGTTTCAATGGGACACTTCTCATCCTTTAAAAGTCCGGAGCGCACAGACCTAATTTCCTCAGTTGCACCTCAAGAAAATCTCACCATCCATCTCACCAGCAAACAGTCTGGTGTATTTCTGTTGTATTCCCTCTATGGCAAGAATGTTCTTCAATAAATAAGGGGACATAACTGTACACAATTTTGCAGGTGAGATCTCAAACCCCCTTGCGATGACTACTAATGTACCTTCCTTATTGATTGTTGCACTGCCATGCTAGCTTTTAGTGACTTATAGAAGTTTATAAAATCATGAGGGGCATGGATAGGGTGAATAGCCAAGATGCTTTTTCTCAGGGTGAGGGAGTCCAAAAATAGAAGGCATAGGTTTAACGTGAAAGGAGAAACATTTAAAAGAGACCTAAGGGGCAACATTTTCATGCAGAGGGTGGTGCGTATGGAACGAGGTGCTGGAGGAAGTCGTGGAGGCTGGTAAAATTACAACATTTAAAAGGCATCTGGATGGGTACATGATTAGAAAGGGTTTAGAGGGATATGGACCAAATGCTGGAAAATGGGTCTAGATTAATATACGGTATCTGGTTGGCATGGACAAATCTGTTTTGACTGTACGACTCTATGACTCACAAACAAAGGAAACCCACATCCTTTTGAAATATTTTTCATCAACCTGTTCAGAGTTGCTCTCTCTAACCTCTGGAGCCCAACCTCTCAGCTTTAAGAAATTATTTTTCTTACTGTTAGTTTTGACTGAAGTGGAGAACTTCACACTTACTCATTTGATTGCATTCACCAAGTTCTTGCCCATTCATTTAGCCAATCCAAGTCTGCTTGAAACTTCTTTACATCTTCCTCACAACATCCATTGCCACTTAGTTTTGTGTCTATAGACTACTGGAAACCTAAAATTAGGGGCAGCATGGTGGCTCAGTGGCTCAGTGGTTAGCATTGCTGCCTCACAGTGCTAGGGACCTGGGTTCAATTTCACCCTTGGGCAACTGTCTGTGTGGAGTTTGCACATTCTCCCTGTGTCTGCATGTGTTTCCTCCGGGTGCTCTGGTTTCCTCCACAGTCCAAAGACATGTACGCTAGGTGGATTGGCCATGCTAAATTGCCCGTAGTGTTCAGGGATGTGTAGATTAGGTGGGTTATAGGGGAATGGTTCTGGGTGGGATGCTTTGAGGGTCAGTGTGGACTTGTTGGGCCGAAGGGATTCTATGATTCTATGATAAAATTAGTGGACATGATTGTAAGATGAGCACTTAGGATACTTATCTTTATTAGTCAAGGCCTAAAAGCAGGAGGTGATGCTGGACCTATTTAAAACTTTAGTTAGGCCACAGCTGGAGTATTGTCTGCAATTCTGGAATTCACATTGTATGAGAGATGTGATAGCACTGGAGAGGACACAGAGGAGATTTACCTGCAATGGTGAGTTTTAGTTAAGAGAGTTAGGGCGCAGACTGGTGTTGTTTTCCTTCGAGCAAAGGAGACTGACATGTATAAGATTGTGGGGGTGCTTAGATGGCTAGACAGAAGAAAGTTTTCCCATTGGAGAAAGGACTAATGACTGGCGGCATAGATTAGGGGTAAGCAGCAAAAGGTTTAGAGGGGATGTGAGGAAAGGCAATTTACCCAGAGAACGGTGGGAATCTGGAACTCGCCTGTGAGGGTGGTAGAGGCAGAAACGCCCATAACATTTAAGAAGTATTTAGATGTACACTTGTAATGTCAAGGCATGCAAGGCCGTGCGCCAAATGCTGGAAGATAGGATTAGAATAATTAGGTTGTTTTGACAGCACAGACTCTGAGCTGAAGGGCCTTTTTCTGTGCTGTAGATTTCTATGACTCTATATTAAAGCTAAAAGTATTTGGGAGAGATCCCTTTATTCAGGGAGTGGTTAGAATCAGGAATAATTATTGCAAACAACATGACATGTTGTTATACTAGGAAGGTGACAAGAGCACATGAGGGAGAAATGAATATAAAAGGAAGTGTTTGTTAATTTAGGGTAGGAGATGGCCGATGTAGAGAATAAATGGTAGAAAATTAAACATTGACTGAATAGAGTCATACAGCACGGAAACAGATCCTTCAGTCTGACCAGTCCATAATCCCAAACTAAACTAAAATGTCTGTTTTTGTGTTGGAACATTTTTTTTTTGTAATTTTCCACCAATACCTGCTGTTGGGGGCTTGAATGCCAGTTTCAAATTCCATGTCCCTCTTTGTCACCAGCACTGCCTAGATTCACTTTGTAGAAACTGTACCTTATAAAGTTCCAGAAGAGAGCCTCCAAGATATGGGAAGAAACCCCTAAAGAGGCCAGATCTTTGAGAGCCATTAGACACAGTGAATATATAACTGGGGACATTGTCTGAAAATGAGGGCCAAACTGTTCAGGAGGGATGTTAGGAAGTGCTTCCACGCACAAAGGTTTGTACATATTTGGAACTCTCTTCCACAATCGATAGTTGAGGCTGGATCAGTTGTTAGTTTTAAATGTGAAAGATTTTGTTGTTTTTTTTGTTGAGCAAAGGTATTGTGGGATATGAATCAAAGGCAGGTATATGGAGTTAGGTCACAGATCAGCCATGCCCACTCTCAATCTGAGTGATTGGCAGATGTTGCAGTCCCACAGCATCTGCCCTGAGGCATTGCTGGCACTACATGGAGTGCTGGGAGGCAGACCCCCAGGTAAGCCCCAGGGTTTGGGCAGGAAGGGATCAGAAATTGGAGTGGAGGAGCTGCAGACTTTTGATGTGGTGATAAGGCATGAGGGTACACAGGGGTACCATCTTTGGCAAGTGGTTGTGGCCCAATGCGCGCACAAAGACACACCGTGCCACGCCACATTTTTGCCAAATGTGTTAAATAATTGGTCTTTTCCCTTTCTTCTGCCTTTCACTGCATTAGTGGGGATGGATTGAGTGACTTAACTGGGCAATAATTAGACACTTAACAGTCTCGAAAGGCTTGAGGGCAGGTGAGATTTACCTAATAGAGACCTGCTTCATGGGGACCTGGTTGGAAGGTATAGGATGTAATTGGGATCATTCATTATGTTTTATGTGTGGACCCCCCCACTTCCACCACCCACCAAAAATAAACCGGTGGAGGGAGACACAGAATTCAGCCCAACGTACCAGTACTTGGGTTCGATTCTCACTCTGATTTGATCCAGCTAGCTTAGCTGGCTGGTGGCAGTGATGTTCAAACTGACTTCAATATTCCCTGGCAAAAGAGTGGAAGGGGAAGCAATATATTCTTGAGCTCATGTTG